TTTAATAACAAGTGTTTGGCGAAGAAATGATTGCATTTTTTTTTGAAATTTTGATGTAAAGCCTTAATTTTTTTTTCATAGCATTCCACTCCATGGATTCTCTTAATTATGAGCTTATCTTCTTCTTGATTTGTTATTGAGTAATTTAAAGGGTTAATACGACAAATAGTCTTTAAATTATAATAAAATATTTTATATAATAATTAAATTTAAAAAAATTTTAATTTAATACTTAAAATATAAATATATATAATACTCGCATTTAACACGATTAACTTTAAATAATAACATCTGATAAATAAATAATTATTCAAGTATTATATTAATTAATAAATTTATAATTTAAATATTATATTAAATATTTTATTATAATACAAAGGCAATTCATAAATCATAACATTAACTCTAGTATAAACTCACAAATTATGTAGATTTAAAAAATCAACACTAGTATAAAAATCAAGAAGGTAACATTATTTTATTAGTGAAATCCAGACAATGGTTAATTGTGAAGGGCCTAATTTCAATAAAATCAAACAAATTAACAAAAATTTCCTTCTAATACTCCATAGATGTTTATAAAATCTAATATACAATCCTTTTGAGGAGAAAAAGAAAGTAAAAACCTCTAAATGTTCCAGATCACGTTGATGATGGAAGGAGGAAGGCTTTTCACTACTTTTGCATAAAGTTTATCAAATATTATTTTAACTTTTTCATAAAATACGTTTTTTTTTAAACTTCCACACAATATTTTAAAAACAATTCTACTCAAATAACACTAATGGGACCAAAGAGACCCTGACTCTGCTAAATTTTTTTCCTTTAAATTACTCTTAATTTTCATTATAAAAACCTCTTAATTTTCATAAAAAATAATACCTCTCTTACATACAGATTGATTTTCCATTACGAAAACGTTCACAATAAAATTAATTATCATGTAATTTATTAATAAAATATTAAATTTTTATAATTTCATTGACCAATATTCACCATCACCTTAGTTTTTATATATTGTCCATGCTCCTTTATTGTCGAGGTAGGCGCCATTTGAGGATGTAAGGTTAGATTTATTTTATTTATTATTTATAATAATTCGACTTCTTACTCTATAATCAAAAGTCTATTTCAGTCTCTAAGTCTAAGCCCATCTCAAATCAAAAGTTCAAGTTAGGATTAGATCTAATAATTTTAAATATGATATAAAAATAATATAAAAAATTATATATAAGTTTAATATAATTATATTTTGTATCTTAATTATGCCTATAGTATTAAAATACAATATTATTTGTGTCATGATCATATCAAATAATAATAACACACTTAAAACACAATAATATTTATATAAGCATATATAACATATAAACTATAAAAAATATTTTAATTAATTTATTAAATAAATTATTAATTGTATTTATCATATATTTTGGTTTATCAATAAATTATAAATTTTTAATTTTTAAATAATTTTTTGTTTAAATACTAAATTTAAATAATTTTTTTATTTAAATAAATAGATTAATCGTATTATTTTTATTGTGTTGTGTTGTGTTACTTGAGTTGTATTAAACAAATTAATTTTAAATATATTAGTTATGTTTTATGTAACACGTATAATAAATATGTTATATTTATATTTAAATTATTTGTGTCATTTAAATATTTATGTTATATTCGTATCAAGATTATTCGTATTATATAATAAATATGTTGTATGTATAATTAAATTATTCGTATCATTTAAATATTTATATTATGTTTGTGTCAAGATTATTCATGTCATGTTTAAAATCGTATCTAATCTAAAACATGACATAAAGACACAAATTATTAAATTTAGTTTGAGTCAACTAATTTTTGAATAAATTGACGTGATATTAAAATTGATACTTAAAAATTACAAATTCATAAAAATTTACATGTGTAATACATTTTTATAGATAAATATATATAAGAATAGAGAATTTAATGATAAATTAATAATTTGAAAAAAACAACCTTTGAATGTGTTGTAACGATTTTGAGACTGCTAGATGTAAAAAAGTTTTAAAATCGAGAAAAATAAAAGGGAATCACCATCAATCTTTGTTAGGGTGTGATTGGCCACCCAAAAATTTATCTTTTTAATAAAACTATAAAAACGGGTTTAAAGTTTATAAAAAAAATAAATTTTAGTCTACAAAAAATCAAATTGAGTTCGGGAGTCGGTTATGTGTTGGGAAGGATTAGCACCCCCACAACGCCCATAAATTGGTACCATTTAATTATGCGTTATTTTCAGTGTTCGATAAAAATAGTTTTGACTTGAAATTTAATACTAATTCCCTTCGTTTTTAAACAAATATATTTTTAAAATTTTTATTTAAAAATATTGAGAAAATCTTTAAGTTAAAAAATTATCTTAAAATTCTTTAACATTTGGTAGAATTTAAAATAATTCTTTTCGCTTAATATTTAAGACAACAATCCTTAAAATGAAATAACACGCTTTATAAAAAATTGTTGGTGACTTTTCAACATCTAGGTAGAGTACCAAGAATTATTTCTTTCGGAATGTTATTTTTATTTTATTTTGTAATATCACAATTTTTTTAAAGTATTATTCTTTTTTTTATATAAAATATTTTATTACCAAGTAGTAAATAAAAATTAAAGACAGAATAGTGCAAATAATTACTGAAAATAACATGCTAACGTATGTATGCCAATGAATGTTATGTAGGATGAGATGCAATTTAAAAATTGGATTCTTAGGTACAATGAGATCACCCCGACTCTCCAACATCTAGGCAGAGCTTAGGTGTGACTGTTTATATTTAAGATCTTAATTTACTGTTATACTTTTTATTTATTAATCTTATTATTAATGCGAATTAAGAAATCATGTGAAAAGACTTAACGAAGTAAAATTTCCTAAATACCCTATCATCTAGACAGCATTCACGAACAAATTGTTTCAAATGAAATTTTCACACGTGTCATTAAGATTTTTGAGATGTTTTGAGTAAGGGCTTGAGTAGAGGTTTTCAAAATGAAGGTTTCAAGATTTTGAAGATTCGGATTTTAAGGGTTTGGATTTAAGTTTTGAGGGTTTTAGGGTTTGGTTTTAAAGTATAGAAGGTTAGGGGTTTTTATTTTAGAGTTTGAAGATTTTAGGGTTTCGATTTTAAAATTTGAGGCTTGGGGTTTTGATTTAAGGGTTTTGATTTTAGGAGTTTGGATTTAAAGAGTTTAAAGGTTTGGGATTTCGGATTTTATGACATTTTGAATTTTTAGGGGGTTTGGATTTATAAGATTTTGAATTTTAGGGGTTTTAGATTTTAGGATTTTGGATTTTAGGGGTTTGGATTTAAGAAGTTTTAGAAACCTAGGATTTTGAAAATTAAGAATTAGTGTTTAAGGTTTCGTTTTTAAAAAAATACGAACATCTCTAAAAATCTCCAATATCTAGGTAAAATTTTGAAGCAAGTTCGATTTTAATGATTTTTAAAAATTAATTAAAAATTTCTTATATTTCTTTGTATGAAAAATTTATTAATAATAATTCTCCAACATCTAGGTGGAATTATTTTTTTTTAAAAATATTTTTTATTCCCTCCAACATCTAGGTAGAAAAAAAATAATAATAATAATTTTTTGAGCATTTTTAATATATATTTTTAATTATTACTTGTTTTTAATTTTATTATTATTAAAATAATTAAATATTTTATTCTAAAAAATTTAAGAATTTATCATGCATCATCAATATAAAAAAAAAAACTTAAAATAACAAAAATAATAATATATAAAAATTTCAAAAATTGAAAAAAAAATTTTTTTTTTACCTGAACCGAACCGGTCAATGGCCTGGTCAACGTTGGTCTGGACCGGTCTAACCGGTTTGATGGTTTAATCAACGGTTCGGGCAGTCCAGTGGTTCAGTTCGGTTTGATCGGTTCACTGACGGTTTGTCTGGATCGATTCAAGGTTAGCTGAAGTGGGTTGACGGGTCAGCTTGTACGGATCTCGGGTCAGATCTAGGTCACGTGCGGATTCTCCTTGGCTAAAACGCCATCGTTTTGGGTCTTTCCCTAAACGATGTCATTTTGAGTTTTGTTTTCTTATATATGGCTAAAGATTTTTTTTTGTTCATTCTTTTCTGTTTAAAAAAAAAAAGGAGAGAGAGAGAGAGAGCTCTGGGGAGAGCTCCGGGCTCTCGCCGTCCGGTCGTTGCCTAGGTCATTGTCGGCGGGGTTGCCGGTGGTCGAAAAATTTCAATAATACTCTCAGAAGCGCTCTTCAACTCGTTTTTTTTTATCTGACGTTCATTTTACTAGAAACAGTCTCGATCAACGTAGATCGGGGCTCAAAGCTTTCAGTCTCTTTTCTCTTTTTCTTTTTTTTTTTTTTAAGACATTGATGATTTCTTTGCTTGTTTACAAGGCTTTTTGGTGTTGAGATTTTTTCCTACGGGGAGGACTGTTTGTTTTTGTTCTTTTTTGTTTATGTTTGTGTGTTTCCGTTTGGGTATTTGGGTATGGGTTTGAGGCTCGAATTTGGGTGCTGGTATGGGTATTGAACTTGTTGGAAGGGGGTTGGGTAGTGATGAAGGGTAAATTTTTGGTGTTTAGTGCCAAAGGGGTGAAATGAAATGGGCTCCTAGTCGTCCGAGAGAGAGGTCTTGAAGGGGAAGAATCTATAAGGTTTTTAAGAGCTTCAAATAGAGTGATTTGGGTGGTTGTAGGAGTGGTTATAGGGAGTGGTAGGAGGTGGGCTGTAAGGTGGCTGGTCGGGGGCGATAGCAACGCCATACACCAACCACTCTACTTTTTATTTTTTTTTTTTTTTTTTTTAATAATTAATAATATATATTTATTAGTATTATTATTATTATTATTAACTTTAATAGTAGACTCACATAAAATCGATGCTTATAAAATATAAATTAAATATTCAATCATTTTTAGGAGAAAAAGAAAGTCAAAACTTTCAAATGTTTCAAATCACGTTGATTATGGAAAGAGAAACACTTCTACACAATTCAGAAATTAAGAAAAGGACATATACCAAAAATTTTCACACAGCTAAAAAACTTTGGGCAACAATTTGGCCGGTTCGCCAAGCAAATATTAACATCAGTAATTAACAAAGTAGATTTATAATAATACCGTGGCGGACCGAAATTTTTTTCCAAAACCGCTACAGATTCTTTATTGAGCTTTTGTTGGGTGGCTTTAATATCAACGACGACAACGACGATTATACACGCTGCGGCAATCTCGTTTACCTTTACGTAATGCTGACCAATCGATCACGTTGTCATATGGCCCTTTAGCAACCCTATTTGAGGTTGGAGGAGAATCGTTGCTAACCCAAGATGGTGCTGTATTTGCATGACTTTTTGTTACTCCCGCTTTGCTTTGTCCATTATCATCTTCTGCAATTCCAAACCATTTGATCATATAAGGGATATAAATACTATATAATAAATCAATGCAAGATTTAAGTAATGTCTATTAAATCAAGTTTGCAAGGTTATTTATTAAAAAACGAGCAAATAAAATTTAAATTTAAAAATTTAATCGGTAAATTAAAAATTTTTGTTACTTAAATAAATTATACGATAAAATTTCAAATAATTTGATTATATTTTGAGATTTTATCAAATAAAGTATATGCAAAATTTTCACCATCTAATAAATATCGGTTAAATTTTGCATATAAATACTACATATTTTTAATTTTCTATAAATTATTAATGTTTTCATTAAAATTTATCAATCTATCAATTTTAAATTTTAAATTCAGTTTTTATTTTATTGAGTTGAATAAAAAAAGTTACAAACTTGACATTAAAAAACCTCACCTTGAACACTTTACTGTAATCAACAAGACAAACATATACATGCATTAAAATTTAGATCCACATTCCATGTATAATTTAACAAATAGAAAAACAAGGAGACAAGAAAATATAGAGAAGAGAAAAGAAATAGGTTAGGTACCTTTAACCTCCTCTAGTCTACTACCGACTATTGCATGCGGTATGAAGAGGACTGATGCCAAGAGGAAGCAGCAAAGGATGAGAGAAAACGAAGGTTTGATTGCCATAATTTTCTCCTCTACGATTTTATATGTTGGGGGCCTAATAATTCCGAAAGCAACTCAATATTTCGCTTTTTCGGCTATAATAATGACATGGTACTTATAATTGGATCATACCGCGCATAAATACTGTGCCTATGTTTGACTTTTCTCAGCCACCTATTGTCTGGGTTCACACTCTTTTCGTCAATGTAAGCTTTTTAGGTTTCTTTCTCTTAAGGTTTATTTTTTTTAAGCCAAGTTTTTATTACTTTGTTGAAAGAAGTGTGAATCCAGCTTTACAATTGCAATCGACAAGACAGAGCACATAATACGCCAGACGCCAGAATACAGAAAGCATTGCAAAACCGACCACCACAATACGTCAGAATGTAGGACACAGACGGTAATCAAACCACGTACAAGGTCATCCACCATCAGGCTATAAATATTTTCGATCGCTGTACCCCTGTTTTTGTTAACGTATCTGTCATGCTATTTGTTTTTTTATTAATTTAATTAATTTATGTACTTATTATTAAAAATTAATATTTAATATTTTTAAATTTTAAATTTTAATATTTATAATTTTTTAATTACAATAATTTTTATAAAAAAAATCAGTACACATTAACCTCAAATGGTATTTATAAAAAAAAATTATGATTAACATATGATCTCTTCTTAAATTTATTTAACATATTAAGAATAATATTTTTAACTAATCTTAATCAATTTTTTTCTTTACACTCAATTAACCGAAATTAATTTTTTTTTCTTTTTTACAAAATGGCCCACGTGGGTCAATGGCTAAAATTATTTTTCTCCCAAAAATTGATTGGGGTGACTTTAGGCGTCGTCAGTACGGCAATCGATGCAGTGCAAAATGAGTCAGATTGACCCAATTCCACGTAAAAAATAAACCGGTTTGGGAGTGCGTTTAATGCGATATTGTGTTGACCTCTGGTGTGACGTAACTTTGAAAAGTAGTACAAGTAAAATAGGAGAAGCACTAAAGCTATTCAAATTCAATGTCCATGTCAGCCCCTTTAGCTCTTGATTTCATTTTATTGGCTTTCCTCGGTTGGGACTAATGAATGTAAGTATGGCTATAAATATTTTTATTTTATTGTTAATCAATCGATCCATGTTATTCTTCTGTCAATATATCATATAAATATTAAATTTTGTTTGAAATGATTTAAATTCATTAATTTTTATATTTGATTTAAATATTTTAATTTTAATTTATTCGAACACTTTAATTAAATTTATATAATTAAACTCATTTAAATTTTATTCATAATTAATTATTTTTGAATCATTTTATTTTGTTTAAAGTTCAATCCAATTTAATTTAAATTATTTTAAAATTTAATTATTCGGATTTAAAAGATCCAGTCTATTGTGAGTTCAAACTTAATTTTTAAAGTACAATCCAATTTATTTTTGAGTCACTTAAAGCCTGAAAATCTAATAAAAATACAAATCAATTTTTTCATATCCAAACTCTAATTATAGACAAAAATTAAATTTTAAAAATTTTAAAGCCCGATATCTTTTTTATTTTTATTAAAATTAATTAAATAGGGACGGCTGGCAGCCTTCTATCTCCATTCTCAGCTTCCTCTGTTTTTACCTCCCATTTCACCTATTCAACCCAAGAACCAGCATGCTACGCCTCCTGAGATGTAGCAATGGCTGTTGCAACAAGAGTCCAACAAAAATCAATTGACATGTCCCTTTTTCAGGAGTTGAATCCTAAAAGAACCGAAATTTTTTAACACGGGAGGAGGGGAAAATTCAGAGAACCAAAAAAAACAAATTCCCAATCTACAATTCCCATTCACGATTCACAGAAACGGAAACCCCATAACCCATCCCAGCATCCTCTTCAAACCTACAAAGCCGAGAACCATATCCAGGAGCTATCCCATCCTAAACCATCACGAATAGACAGGAAAATCTCAGGAGCCCCTTCCCTGAGCCATCCTCTACCCCCATATACAACACCAGCAGAAAATCATCCCTGGACTCCTTTGAACCATCAAAAAACTCCACCACCATAAACACCCCTCTGAACCACCAAATTCAAAACAGCCGACCAACACCATCACTAACCCTCTACACAGACCACCCGCGGCCTCCCACCACCTCTGAATCAACATAACAGCCCGCATCATCACCCCTTCGGCCACCGTCCACCGCCATCATTTCTCACATCACCAACACATAAACCCAGACCCGAACCACCATCAACCCAACCCCTGCCTCTGCCTCCTTGAGAGCCGAAACCAGCCCCCTTGTGACCCACATCGACCAAAAGAAAACCACCACAAGCCTACCTAAGCACCCCAGCCGAAACCCACTGCCTACAGCCACCACTGACCACCAAACCATCACAGCCCCCAATCCCCACACCAACAGCCGAACTATTCCACCCTCAACCACCCAAACCAAAAAAAAGGAATTGTTCTTTGAAAACTGAAACCAACTGTCAAGCAACGAGTAACCAGAAAAGAAAATCACATCCCCTGGGAGGGGAGAAGCAGAGTCAACAAGCCGAAAAAAAAAAAATCTCTTTTCTAAGTATATTTTTAAAGATTTGTCAGTTGCCAGGCAGATAGGGACTCAGGCTACAATATCTGCCGATCATGTTTGTTCTCTCATCTTGGACAACCGGTAATTTGGCATTGCCTCGGGAAATTGTTACCATTTTGTTTGTTTTTGAGCAAATCAAATTCAATGGATTAAATGATTGGTTTACCCTTTTTTTTGGTTGCATTGTCAGTTTTCCTGGCAGTCCATTTGTTGCAATTACTATTTAAAGGGTGAGTGATCGGTTGCCAGATATCGGTTTGTTTAAATGCTGATCAGTTGAAACTTTTGTGGTTGGTTACTCAGATTTTTAAGTTCTTTGGCCTGCAATCCAATTTAATTTACAATATTCTTTTGGTTGGAATTTTGTTGGCGTCAGATTTGTCAGCTGAAATTTGGTGAATTTTGGAAGGAAATGAATCTACACCTATAGTTTTCATGATTTGCTGATCTGTAGTTGCACAAAAAAGTGTCCAATTATGAATAGTGAAGTTCTTTTTCCCATGTTCAAGTTAACTGAATTTCATGAATTTCACTACCTACAGGCTTTAATATATAATTATTTCATGAACTTTGCAGCCTTCAGGTTTCAATAATGGTTCTGCCTAACAGAAAATGTTTTCAATTATAAAATTTTGTATTTATGCAGAAGCCAATTGTTGGTGAGGCACCTACAAAAGCTTTTAACTTATCATAAACACAAAAAAATACTACCCGAAAATTTAGGATATCAGTGGTTCCGTATGTATGCCATATCTTTCTCATTGAAAAATTGACAACCAAAATACCAAAAAGAAAGAATAAAGAAAAAAGTGTAACAGTTGTTGTGTCATTCTGCTTTATATCTGTGGGCAATAATCTGATATTCATAATATGATCTTTTTCAAATGGTATGCCAAGTTATATCATTTTAGATAGCTGGTTAAAAGATGTAAACCATTTTCGTTTATGATATTTTGCTTATCCCTGCATCTTTCCCTATTTATCTGTTTCTTTTTCTTCCCAGACATGTACATGCATGTACTATAGCTATGATACATGATGACCATTATAGATCTACCTTAGACCAAGAGATATACCATAAAATAGGTGCAATATGGTGAGAGGAGCCAACTAAAAAGAAAAGAAAAAAAAAAAGTGGACTGCACACTACATATGGAATAACCGGTTGTTGTTACTGGGTATTCACAGTGTCCGAGTCTGAGATTAGCTTGTTTTTGACATCCTTCAGATTACAAATGACATAAAGCGGTAACTTTGAATCTCAGGGCTTAATGCTAATCAAGGCATGGTAAAAGGAAACTAGAAAATCCCTGTGAAGCAGTTTCATTATTTCAATACTGTATAACACTTATTTTTCATTACAGTGCAACACTTCATTTATTCATCAAATTCCTTTTCTTTCCCTTATGCTTTCCTCCCCACTGTATCTGAAATTTCTCTCAAATTGATGTCTCTAGCCAATGGTATGTATACCGGACAGTTCAAAACAAAGGAAACTTCTTGAAAAGCTGAATACACCAATCCATCCCTTGGACTCATTCTTCCATTCTGTATTCCAACTTCTATACTTCAGTAACAAAGTTGGCGTTTGGACATGTCCTTTTAAGTGATATGGGATTTTTTTGTGTTCAGCGGGGATTGAAATTAGTTTTCTTATTGCTTGATACTTTGTTAAGCGGCGACTCTAGCAATGTTTTCTTGTTTCAATGACAACCTGATAATATCATTATTTTACTGTGTATTTCTTCAATGCTGCCGTAATTTTTCATTTTCCGTCAGATAATCATCCTTTACATCCAAGACAAATAAATTTAAATATTAATCATTGTATAAAGAAGATAGCATGCATGTGAATATAATACTATCATGAACTTTTATTTCAGGTTTGAGGCAACTCGTTGAATTCGAATGATGGAGAGTCGGGCAAATGAACAGATGAAGGGTCTGCCAGGAAGGGTGAGTGGCATGTGCCAATATTAGCCATGACAGCTGATGTAATTCATGCGACTTATGACGAGTGCCTGAAATGTGGGATGGATAGATATGTCTCAAAGCCCTTTGATGAAGAAAATCTCTATCCGGCTGTAGCCAAGTTCTTCAAAGCCAAACCCATCTCAGACTCATAGCGACAGCTCCACCCTCTTTCAGAAAAGCTGACAAAACAAAACTGAGAAATATATGTGGGTTGGACTTTACCAGCAAGGTTTCCCATCCTGCTGGTGCATTTTGGTTTTAACCTCTGCATGGTTTGCTTGGCATCCTGAGGATAATTGACCCCGTTAAAACATATTCTGGCAATCATTTTTAACCAACTTCAATTTAATTAACTTGATTAGAATTTCAGTACTTGTATACTACCACAGGAACTTCATCCCAATCTGTTTGTATAGATCTTCACAAAGGGATCGAGTCAAAGGTGTAAATCTCATTTTCTCTTGGGATTTCAGAACTTTCATTTGGAAAGGGTTCCGATCCTTGTGCCTTGATTTTTATAAATTCTGTTATCAGAAAGAGGGAGCTACAAGTAGAACAGCCTGCTCTTACATGATTTTCGTTTTGAAATTCCGAGTTTATAGGCAGCGGCAATGCAAAAAAGGTTGATCTTCTTATGCCCTTTTCTTATTCATGATTATTGGAAACAAGTGAATGGTTGATTTGAACAACTAGAGGACAGCTATATCAAAGCAATGCAAGTTATGGAATTGCAAGAACAGGAGGCAGTACGAGTGGGCAATTAGCTTCGCAATCTGCTTTTACGTAATAGCATGGATGTGATTCTTTTGATATCCAGCACCAACAATCTCGTAATAAGAAGGCCTCGGTGTCTGCTACACCGCATGGTCTATGACTGCATGGTCCTAGTGTTATTTGCTGCCTGCTGGTACGGTCAAATCAAGCTTGATGCCATTGCCATGGACGCTTCTTCTGCTACCTGTTCAAATTGAAGGTTCCATTAAAAGAAAAAAAAATCATTTCGATGTATAAAACTACATGAGATACATCTGAAGATCAAAAGGGTATATGAAAAATTAAAAAAATTAAAGGTATAAGGTACAAATTAAACGAAGTACGCACATTCTTGAAAAACGTAAAGAGAGGCAAAAACTAGGAATAGGAAACCCAAACAAGCAGCCATTGACTTGGTTGCTACATGTTGACAAGAAATATTATGGGTCTTTTCCAAAGCTTTTCAATATATATACCATAATCACTATGATATAAATGGAAATACAATAAATAAATAATACTATTATTATTGGAGAGATCCTCTCTCATTCTTTTTTCTTAACTATTTATTATGTTATAAGTGGACCCAAAATAAATGTAAATCAGTTAAAAGCTCAACAGTTAAATTTGTATGCTTAATTATATAGTTAATATTTGGCTTTTCCTAAAAAGGAAAGAAACCAAACATTGGAAGATTGATTTTGGATAGGGCAGAGCAGCAATCGGTCAGCTCTGAAATACCCGATCAAAAATTGATAATTATAATAAATCGATTCAATTTTTTCGATTTAATAAATTAAATTGATTTGAGATTTGATTTTTATAGTTTATTCGATAGGTTTTTGATGTTGAATTTTAAAAATTGAATCGACTAAAATAACCGATATTTAATAATTAAATAATATAAATTGCATTTTAATTAATTTTAATTTTGCCAATTACTCATTTACCCTTCAATTTTTGTACATTCCCCTAAACTTTAAATTCCTAATTTCATTTTCCTCTCTTTCTTTCTCAACTCTCACACTCTCTCCAGCCTCTCCGTCCTTCACCACACCAGCCTCTGTCTCATCTCAGTTTCTTGGATCTTCTCTCACCTCTCACAATCATGCTTGAGACCTGGACTCCACTAGTGACGACTGAGGAGCCCTTAGAGCCCAAAGCCACCACACCAGACTACCAAAGCATACCCATTAATGGTCACCATCTCTGGGTTTTTGCCTTCCCCTTTTGTCAAACTAGGTGTGTACTTCACCTCTTTCCCTCATTTGATTCATGATGTGTGTTTATACCCATATTTAATGTTGAATGTACATAATCTCAAAGAGTCCATTAGAGAAGAATTAATAAAAGTTTGTTGGCCTTTAATTGTTTCTTGTCAAAGAATTATACATGTTTGTGAATTTTAATGACGTTTCTCTTTCATTCTCAAACTTATTATAATAACTACCTTATATGATTTACATAATTGAATGTTGAAAACTAAAAAAAAAATAAAATTAGAGGATCGACAAAATCGAAAAAGTCAACTATAATCGATTTACTCAATTCAATTCTATTGCATTTGATTTTTTTTATTTTCTTCAGTCTGTTTGATTTTTTATTAAATTAATTCGATTAAATCAATTTTTTTTATTTTTACAATCGAATTAATCAAACCAATCGTTTGCTCTATTTTAATTTTAGATTCAATATTTCATTCATTTAAGGATCATGTTTAAATTTCGATTAAAAATCTCCAGCATTAAGAGAGAAATTGTGTAATTATTTCAAAATTAGTGGTGTTTGAATTTTGACTCAACTAATGAAAAATTTTTTATTCTAAAAGCAAAGTCAAAGGTTTGATTTTTTAAATTTTAATATTTTAAGCTTATGCGATAAGCTCATTTGAGCTAGATAAAATTTTAAATCAAAATTTTTCTAAAAAATGTACTAATGTTTATTAACAAATATTTAATATTTTTACAAAATAACACCTTACCGTTTTTTTATTTGGTCTAACTTTTCTATTGATTTTATTTGTTTTTATTTTTAATTAACAAAAATGTTTCTTTATTTTATTTATTTCTTTCATCTAAAAATTTATGATTTATTTTAATAAAATTAGTTAATTTATTTTCATCTGTTAAAAAATTATAAAATATTTTTTATATTCTACTTTTGCATAAAGTTTATCAAATATTATTTTAAATTTTTCATAAAATATATATTTTTAAACTTCCATGCAACATTTTTAAAATAATTCTACTCAAATAACACTAATGGGACCAAAGAGAACCTAACTTGCTAAAATTTTTTCCTTTAAATAACTCTTAATTTTCGTAAAAAAAAAAACCTCTCTTAAATATAGATTGATTTTCCATTAGAAAACGTTCACAATAAAATTAATTACCATGTAATTTATTAATAAAATATTAAATTTTTATAATTTCACTGACCAATATTCACCATCACATATTCTTCTTCCACCTGCATTTTTCCTTAGTTTTATATATTGTCCATGTTCCTTTATTATCGAGATAGGCGCCATTTGAGGATATAAGGTTTGGTTTATTTTATTTATTATTTATAATAATTCGACTTCTTACTCCATAATCAAAAGTCTATATCTGTTTGTAATGCTACATCCATCTCAAATCAAAAATAAATGTTGAATTAAGCTTAATAATTTTAAATATGATATAAAAATAATATAAAAATTTTATGTATGATTTAGTATCATATTTCGTGTCTTAATTATGTCTATATGATTAAAATATAATATTATTCATATTGTATTCATATCAAATGATAATGATATATTTAAGAAATAATAGTATTTATGTAAGCATATATAACATACAAATTATTAAAATTATTTTAATTTATTTTTTAAATAAATTAATAATCATATTTATCATAATTTTAGTGGTTCAATAGATTATAAATATTTGATTTTTAAATAACTTTTTGTTTAAATGCTAATTTAAAATTATTTTTTTTGTTTAAATAAATAGATTAATCGGATCTAATTATGTTATTCATATCGTATCGTATCGTGTTACTTGGGTTATATTAAATAAATTAATTTTAAATGTATTAATTGTGTCATATATAATACATACAATTAAATGTCATATTTATGTTTAAAATATTCATATGATTTAAAAATTTATATTGTGTTCGTGTCAAGATTATTCATGTTATATTTATATTTAAGTTATTCGTATTATTTAAATATTGGTGTCGTGTTTGGGTCAAATAAAATCATATCTGACATGAATTACATAGTTTACTTTGAGCTAACTAACTTTTAAATCAATTAACATGATATTAAAGTAATATTTAAAAATTACGAATTCATAAAAATTTATACATATAATATATATTCTTTTGATAAATTAATATAAGAATAGAGAATTCATAGATCAATAATTTTGAAAAAAAATAACCTTTGAATTCAAAACCAAAATTTAATTAAAAATTAAATATTCAATCCTTTTGAGGAGAAAAAAAAAAGTCAAAACTTCCAAATGTTTCAAATCACGTTGATTATGGACAGAGAGAATTTTTCTACACACAATTCAGAAATTAAGAAATGGACATATACCAAAATTTTTCACACAGTTAAATAACTTTGGGCAACAGTTTGGCCAGGTTCGCCAAGCAAATCTTAACGTCAGTAATTAACAAAGTAGATTGATAATAATATCATGTGTAAACACTGATTTTATCCGGATCTATTATTTTTATTTTAATTTAATAATAATAAAAAAAGAGAAAAAGAGATAGAAAGTAGAGGGCTGGACGTCGTCCCCGACAAGCCCCCTGTTCAGTCCATCTATAGCCACTTAGATTTCTCTAATTGAAGTTCTTTAAAACCTCAGCCTTTTTCCCTTTCAGATTTTCTCTTGAAAAAAAAAAAAAGGCTTATTCAATCCACCCCTACAACAAACTTTGAGCTCAGATGAACTACCCATCTCAAAACACTTTCAATAACCCCAGACAGAACCCCGATATCCACGCATAAAAACTCAAATTTCAAACCCACACCCAAATACCCAAACCAAAGAAAATAGATACAAAAAATAGACAAACACAGTCCTTTCCGCAGGGAGGAACCCAGCGCCACATTACTTGTAAAAGCAAAAATCATATTAGTCTCTCCTTAAAAAAAGAAAAAGAAAAAAAAAAAAGGCAGAAAACTTCAAGCCCCGATCTACGACGATCGGGACTGTTTTTGGCAAAAACAAAGTCAGATCCAGAAAGAGAACGAAAAAAAGAAATTTTAAGGTATTTTGAAAGTTTTTCGGTCATTGACGATCATCGGTAGCGTCGCCGATGGTGAACCAGGGCCGATGGTCCAGCGACTAGACGACGACGAAGCTCTGGAGCTTGCCCCTCTTTTTTTTTTTTGAATAGAAAAAGACTGAAACAAAAAAAAAATTTCAGTTATATATAAAGGCCTAAAGGCCAAAACGACGTCGTATTGGGTAAGAAAAGATCCACACGTGGACCCGGACCCGACCCGGGGACCGCACAATCGACCCGCCAACTCGGTTCTTCAGCAGCCCTGAATCGGTTTGATCGAATCGGACCGAGCCGCTTCTTAGACCGGTCCGAACCGCTCCTCAACTGGCTCAACCAAACCGTGCCCCGAACCTACCCTTTTTGATCCAACCGAACCACCATTGATCGGACCGTTGACCGGTTCGGTTGAGGTAAAAATTTTTTTTAATTTTTTAATTTTTTTATATATTATTATTTTTGTTATTTTAAGTATTTTTATATATTTATGCATTATAAGTTTTTAAATTTCTTAGGATAAATATTTAATTGTTTTAATAATAATAAAAATGAAAATAAGTAAGATAATAATTAAAAAATATATATTAAAAATGCTTTAAAAAATAATAATAAAAAAATAATTTTTATTACATTCTCTACCTAGATGTTGGAGGGAACAAAAACATATTCTTAAAAATAATTCTGTCTAGATGTTAGAGAATTATTATTAATCAATTTTCATAAAAAAATATATATATGAGAAATTTTTAATTAATTTTTAAAAATCATTAAAATCGAACTTGCTCCAAAAATTCGTCTAGATGTTGAAGATTTTTAGAGATGTTCATATTTTCTTAAAAACGAAACCTTAAACATTAATTCTTAAATTTCAAAACCCTAAAATACGAAACCTCTAAAATTCAAAATCCCTTAAAATTCGAAATCCTTTAAATCCAAACCCCATAAAATCTCAAACCCCTAAAACCCAAAACTCCAAAATCCGAAACTCCTTAAATCAAAACCCTAAACCTCATTTAAAAAAAAAATCAAAACCCTAAAATCTCTAAATTTTAAAATCAAAATCCTAAACCTTCATACCCTAAAATTCAAGCCTTAAGACCCTCTAAACCTTAAAATCAAATCCTAAAACCCTCAAGACTCAAATCAAAACCTTAAAATCCGAATCTTCAAAACCTTGAAAATCTAATATTTAAAACCTTTATTCAAGCCCTTACTCAAAATATCCTGTAAATCTTAAGGACACGTGTGAAAATCTCATTTAAAGTAATTTGCTTCCCGAATGCTACTTAGATGACGGGGTATTTAGAAAATTTTATTTCGTTAAGTCTTTTCACACGATTTCTTAATTCGAATTAATAATAAGATTAATAAATAAAAAGTATAATAGTAAATTAGGATCTTAAATATAAAAAGTTGCATCTAAGCTCTGCCTAGATGTTGAAGAGTCGGAGTAGTCTCATTATACTTAAGAACCCAACTTTTAAATTGCATTTCATTTTACATGACATTTATTAGCATGCATATATTATCGTGTTATCATCGATAATTGTTTGCATTATTCTCTATTTAATTTACTGTTTGATGATAAAATATTTTATAATAAAAAAGAATAATACATTTAAATTTTTTTTATGATATTATAAATAAAATAGAAATAACAGTCCGAAGAAAATAATTCTTGGTACTTTACCTAGACGTTGGAGAGTCACTAACAATTATCTTCTATAAAGATTGTTATTTTATTTTAAGGATTATCGTGTTAAATCTTAAATGAAAATAGTTATTTTAAAATTCTGCCTAGATGTTGGAGAATTTTAAAATAATTCTTCTTTAAGATTTTCTCAATATTCCTAAATAAAGAGCTTTAGCAAAATTTTATTTTTCAAATGAAGATAATTAGTGTTAAAATTTAAATTAAAACCATTTTTATCAAACACCGAAAATAACACGTAATTAATTGATACCAATTTATGGGCGTTGTAGGGGTGCTAATCCTTCCCCACAAGTAACCGACTCTCGGATCCAACCTGATTTTTCGTAGATCAAAATTTATCTTTTTGATAAATTTTAAACTCGTTTTTATAGTTTTATTAAGAATATAAACTTTTAGGTAACCAATCACACCCTAACACAAATGGTGATGACTTCCCTCATTTACTTCGATTTTAAAATACTTTACGTCTGACGGTTCCAAAACTATTACGATCCCGTGATGGATCGAAAATTTATTCCAAAACTGCAACAGATTCTTTATTGAACTTTTGTTGGGTGGCTTTAATATCAAGGATCACCATTACAATTCTTACTATAGACGATGCTGGAGCAAACTGGTTTGTTAGGTATCGATGTCCTGTAGATGATATTCTTCCCATATGACACTCCATTAGCTCTATGTCTATATACGTTTGGACTTGGAGGAGAATCGTTGCCAACCCAAGATGGTGCTGTATTTGCATGACTTTTTTTTACTCCGGCTTTGCTTTGTCCATTATCATCTTTTGCAATTCCAAACCATTTCATCATATACGGAATACAAATACTATATAATAAAATCATTGCAAGATTTACACTATGTTTGGATTGAAGGGAGGAAAAAGAAAGGAAAATAAAGAAAAGCAATGGAAACAAAAAATATATATATTTTTTATAAACTTTTAATTTAAAGGAAAGGAAAAATGTAAAAACCTAATAACCTTTTATTTTTCTTGTAATCCTTAGTTTTTTTTATACCTTAATTTAGGGGAAAAACCGAATAAAGAAAAGTTGAAAAAAATTTATTTTTATGAAAAAACAATTATATTTATATTTTTATTATGACATTAGATTTAATTATATAACTAATAACTTCAACAAATATAATTTTTTTATGAGTATTTTATATAATATCACAATTTATAAATATTTTATGATTTTTTAACTCTTAACAACAAAATAAATCAAATTATTATCAAAATAAATTAAAAAATTAAATTAAATATAAAATTAAGAGTACATCAATAACTAGTTAATACATCTTACTGTATTAAACATACTCAATTTTGTTTAAAAAGATATATTTATACTTGTATATTACATGTTACTTTATTAAAAAAAAGGTTATAATTAAAAACAAATATTATAATGAATTATTTCATTTCTTTTTCACTATTTATTCAATTAATTGTTGTTAATTTTTTTTTTTTTTTCTTTCATTTTTTTTATTAATTTTAACTATTCAAACATGAGGTATATGTACTATTTCTTTTTCTCTAAAAAACTTTCATTTTATTTCCTTTCATTTCATTTCATTTCATTTTTTATTAATATTTATTCAAACATATCGTTAAGTAATATGTCTCAAATCAAGTTTATGAGGTTTTTTATTAAAAGTAAACAAATAAAAATTTAATTTAAAAATTTAATCTATAAATTAGAAATTTTTGTTACTTAAATAAAGTATACAACCAAATTTCAAATAATTTGGATATATTTTTATATTTTATTAAATAAAGTATATGCAAAATTTTCACCATCCAATAAATATCCGTCAAATTTTGCAAATAAATGCTATATATTTTTAATTAACCTTTTATAAATTATTAATTTTTTCATTAAAACTTATCGATTTTAATTTTTAAATTCAGTTTTTATTTAATCGAGTTGAATAAAAAAGACCTTACAAACTTGACGTTAAAAAACGTCATCTTTAGCATTTTACTGTAAACCAACAAGACAAACAAATACATGAATTAAAATTTAAATCCATATTCCATGTATAATTTAATAGATAGAAAAACAAAGAGACAATAAAATATAGAGAAGAGAAAAGAAGTAGGTTAGGCACCTTTAACCTCCTCTAGCCTACGACCGACTATTCCATGCGGGATGAAGAGGACCGACGCCAAGAGGAAGTAGCAAAGGATGAGACAAAAAGAAGCTTTGATTGCCATAATTTTCTCCTCTACGATTTTATATTTTGGGAGCCTTCTAATTCCTAAAGCAACACTATTATTTCAGTTTTTTTGGCTATCATCATACACGGTACTAATAAATACTATGCCCATGATTGACTTTTCTCGGCCGCCCATTATTTGGGTTCAAACCCTTTTTGGTCAATGTAAGCATTTCGGGTTTCTTTCTGTCGAGGTTAATCTGATTCATAATTTAATTCTATTAATTTATTTAAATATTTTAAAAAAATTATATCTAATATATTTGAAGTTAAAATTTAATACTTATAATTTTTTTAAAATTACAACCTTCTTTATAAAAAAAATAATCAGTGCATAATAAGTTCAAGTTATTTTTATATAAAAAATTATGATTAATATATGATCTCTTCTTGAATTTATTTAAACTATTGAGAATAATATTTTAACTAATTTTAATCATTTTTTTGTAGACATTTAATTAACAGGAATTAATTTTTTTTCTTTTTTATAAAATGGCCTACTTGGGAAACGGCTAAAGTGATATTTCTACCAAAAACTCATTGGGCTGACCTACGGCGTCGTGAATACGGCAATAAATGCAGTGCAAAAAGAGTCAGTTTGACTAAGAACGTTAATCTTATCTGCATATAATAGAACTCGATTTTTAATATAAATGAATATAGAGATAGTATTATGTTATAGGCATCGAAATCAAAATAGAGATAATTTTAAATTTTTATTGAATATAAAAATAAAAATAAATAATATAATATTTGTGTTGTCTCAATCATTTATATATATATTTATATAATTAATAAATAAAATTTTTATTAAATAATATAAATTATTATTTTAAATTAATTAAAATTAATATATTTTTATTAAAAATATATATTAATAAAAAACTAAATATAAAAAATAAATTTAAAAATAAATTTTTATTTTTATTTTATTTTTTAAATTTACGAATATAAAAATTATTCATATTCATTAAATATCTATGAAAATAAGAATAAAAATAAATTTAATATATTTATTAGGTATAATATGAAGATAAATATGATATAAAAATTAAAAAATGAGAATGAAAAAGTATTCTATCCTATTCATACCTTACCTATTAACATATCTAAATTAGACTCAATTTCATGTAAGTAACATTACCCCGGCGTTGCAGTGCGTTTCATGCCATGTTGTGTCGACCTCTGGTGTGACCGTAGCGCAAACGCCAATCGTAACTTGGAAAAGTAGTACCAGTAAAATAGGGGAAGTATTAAGGCTATTCAATGTTCATGGCAGCCCGTTTTTCCTTGTATTGTTGTGCTTAATGAATGTAAGTATAGCTATAAACATTTTTATCTTATTGTTAATCAACCGATCCATGTTACTCCCCTCTCCATATATAGTTTTTTTTATTATTTTTATTAGTAATATTTTTTCTCAAATTATCTTTATTTTGAAAAATGAGAAAAATTAGATATATAGCAATAGATGAAGGGTAATAAAAAAATAATTTTTCTTTGAATTTTCAAACGAAATATATATTTTTGAGACAAATAAATGTGTACAAACAAAACATTTTTATGGGACCGAGAGAGTATTATTATCATATTAATTTGTTACCTTTTGTTCTGTTTTCTTTTACTACAAATGAGCAGCGAAGGAAGCAGAGAAATTGTTTGTTTTAGAAGGAAATTAATAACAATTGATCAAACCCAAAACGGTGTTGGTTTTTCATGACTGACGGCTAGGGTAATTGTTGGGACACTCACGAAGAATGCCTGAATGATTGCCCAGCTTTTAACTCACATCCTCGACCTCTCACTCCTTGAGTAAGTTTTTCCCATCATCCTTTCTTTTCGTTGTTAATACCATCTTCATCGTTGCTTAAATTGACTTGTTGCGTTTAGCATTTTAATAACATGTGTTTGGCCAAGAAATGATTGCGTATTTTTTAAAAATTTTGATGTGAAGCCTTTTTTTTTTTTTTTTTCATAGCATTGCACTCCATGAATTCTCTTAATTATGAGTTTATATTTTCCTTGATTTGTTATTGAGTAATTTAAAGGGATAACGTGATAAATAGTCTCTAAATTATAATAAAATATTTAATATAATATTTAAATTTTAATATAGGTCCTAAAATATAAATATATGTAATACTCACACCTAACACAGTTAGCTCTAAATAATAACATATGATAAATAAATAACTATTTAAGTATTACATTAATTAATAAATTTATAGTTTAAGTATCATATTAAATATTTTATTATAATTCAAAGACAATTTATGAATGATAAAATTATTTCTAATTTAAACTCACAAATTATGTAGATTTCAGAAATTAACACTTGTATGAAAATCAAGAAGGTAAAATTATTTTATTAGTGAAATCCAGACAATGGTTAATTGTGAAGGGCCTAATTTCAATAAAATAAAACAAATTAATAAAAATTTCCTTCTAATATTCCATAGATGTTTATAAAATCTAATATTCAATCCTTTTCAGGAGAAAAAGAAAGTCAAAACCTCTAAATGTTCCAGATCACGTTGATTATGGAAAGGGGAAGATTTCTACACACAATTCAGAAATTATGGAATGGACATATACCAAAAATTTTCACACTGCTTAAAAACAATGGGCAACAGTTTGGCCAGGTTCGCCAAGCAAATCTTAACATCAGTAATTAACAAAGTAGATTTATAAAAATACCGTGGCGGATCGAAATTTTACTCCAAAACCGCCACAGATTCTTTATTGAGCTTTTGTTGGGTGGCTTTAATATCAACGACGACAATTACGATTATAAATGTCGGGGGAGCAATCTTTTGCACCGTTACCTAATTTTGACCTGGCGATCATGTTCGCATTTGACACTTTAGTAGCCCTATTTGAGGTTGGAGGAGAATCGTTGCCAACCCAAGATGGTGCTGTATTTGCATGACTTTTTGTTACTCCCGCTTTGCTTTGTCCATTATCATCTTCTGCAATTCCAAACCATTTGATCATATAAGGGATATAAATACTATATAATAAATCAATACAAGATTTAAGTAATGTCTCTTAAATCAAGTTTGCAAGGTTCTTTTCTAAAAACGAGCAAATAAAATATAAATTTGAAAATTTAATCAGTAAATTAAAAATTTTTGTTACTTAAATAAAGTATACAACAAAATTTCAAATAATTTAGATATACTTTTAGATTTTATCAAATATAGTATATGCAAAATTTTCACCATCTAATAAATATCAGTAAAATTTTGCATATAAATGCTACTTATTTTTAATTTTCTATAAATTATTAATGTTTTCATTAAAATTTATCAATCTATCAATTTTAAATTTTAAATTTTAAATTCAGTTTTTATTTAATAGAGTTGAATAAAAAAAACCTTACAAACTTGACATTAAAAAACCTCACCTTGAACACTTTACTGTAAATCAACAAGACAAACAAATACATGCATTAAAATTTGGATCCATATTCCATGTATAATTTTACAAATAGAAAAACAAGGACACAAGAAAATATGGAGAAGAGAAAAGAAGTAGGTTAGTTACCTTTTACCTCCTCTAGTCTACGACCAACTATTGCATGCGGGATGAAGAGGACTGATGCCAAGAAGAAGCAGCAAAGGATGAGAGAAAATGAAGGTTTGATTGCCATAATTTTCTCCTCTACGATTTTATATGTCGAGGGCCTTCCAATTCCGAAAGCAACTCAATAATTCAGTTTTTCGGCTATAATATTGACACGTTACTTATAATTGGCTTATACCGCGCACAAATACCGTGCCTATGTTTGATTTTTCTCAGCCACCAAATGTTTGGGTTTACACCCTTTTAGGGTTCTTTCTCTTAACGTTTTTGTCAAGTTATAATTACTTTGTTGAAAGTTAAGTGTGAAGCCAGCTTTTACAATTACGGTTGACAAAATGGAGCACATAAGACGCCAGACGCCAGACGCCAGAATATAGAAAGCATTGCAAAGCCGACCACCGCAATACATCAGAATGAAGGACACAGACCGCAATCAAACCACGTACAAAGTCATCATCTACCATCAGGCTATAAATATTTTCGATCGCTGTACCCCTGTTTTTGTTAACATATATGTCATGCTATTTTTTTATTAATTTAATTAATTTATATAATTATTTTTAAAATTAATATTTAATATTTTTAAATTTTAAATTTTAATATTAATAAATTTTTTAATTACAATTTTCTTTATAAAAAAATCACTGCACATTAAGCTCAAGAGATATTTATAAAAAAAATTATGATTAATATATGATCTCTTCTTAAATTTATTTATTTAACATATTGAGAATAATATTTTTAACTAATCCTAATCAAATTTTTTATTGACACTCAATTAAGCGGAATTAATTTGTCTTTTTTTTCTTTTTTATAAAAGGGCCCACCTAGGTCAATGGCTAAAATTATTTTTCTCCCAAAAATTGATTGGGCTGACTGTGGAGTCGTGAGTACGGCAATAGATGCAGTGCAAAATGAGTCAGATTGACCCAATTCCACGAAAAAAAAAAAAACCGTTGCTGGAGTGCGTTTAATTGTGTTGACCTCTGGTGTGAACGTAACTTTGAAAATAAGTACTAGTAAAATTGGAGCAGCACTAAAGCTATTCAAATTCAATGTTCATGGCAGCTCCTTTAGCTCTTGTTTTCCTTTTATTGGCTTCCTCTGTTGCGCTTACTGAATGTAAGTATAGCTATAATTATTTCTATCTCATCCTTAATCAACCGATCCGTTATACTCTTCTATTCATATATAAAATAAATATTTAATTTTATTAATAAATTCAAATTCATCAATTTTTATACTTATTTTACATCTTTCAATTTGAATTTATTCAAACACTTTAATTGAATCTGTATAAGTAGACTCATTTAAATTTTATTCAAAATTAATTATTTTAAATTATTTTATCTTGAAATTCAATCTAATTTAATTTTAAAATTTAATTGTTTAAACTTAAAAAATTTCTAATTATGAGTTCAAACTTAATTTTTAAAGTCCAATCCAATTTATTTTGAGTCACTTAAGCCTAAAAATTTAATAAAAGTTCAAATCAATTTTTTCAGATCCAAACACTAATTATAAACTGAAATTAAATTTTAAAAATTTTTAAGGTCAAATGTCATTTTTTTTTATTAAAATTAATTAAATAGGAACGGCTGGCAGCCTTCCCTCTCCATTATCAGCTTCCTCTGTTTTTACCTCCCATTTCACCTATTCAACTCTAACACAAATTCATCAAAAAATCCACCCAAGAACCAGCATGCTACGCCTCCCGAACTGCAGCAATGGCTGTTGCAACAAGAGTCCAACAAAAATCAATTGCCATGTTCATTTTTCCGGAGTTGAATCCTAAAAGAACCGAGAAGGTTTTAACATAGAGAAGGAGGGGACAATTCAGAGAACCAAAGAAAAAAAAAACACATTACCAATCTACAATGCCCATTCACAGAAACGGAAACCCCATAGCCCTTCCCAGCATCCTCTTCCAACCTCCACAGCCGAGAACCACATCCAAGAGCTATCCCATCCTAAACCATCACGAATAGACAGGAAAATCTCAGAAGCCCCTTCCCTTAGCCACCCTCTACCCCATATACAACACCAGCAGAAAACCATCCCTAGACTCCTTTGAACCACCAAAAAACTCCACCACCATAAACACCCCTCTGAACCACCAAATTCAAAACATCCAACCAACACCATCACTAACCCTCCACGCAGACCACCCGCGGCCTCACACCACCTCTGAATCACCATAACAGCCTGCGTCATCACGCCTTCGGCTACCATCCACCACCATCATTTCTCACATCACCAACACATAAACCCAAACCCGAACCACCAACCAACACCATCGAGAACCACCATCAACCCAACCCCTGCCTCTGCCTCCTTGACAGCCGAAACCAGCCCCTTTGTGACCCACCATCGACCAAAAAAAATAAAAAATCATCACAAGCCTACCTAAGCACCCCAGTCGAAAACCACTGCGTACAGCCACCACTGACCACCAAACCATCACAGCCCCAATCCCCACACCAACTGCCGAACTACTCCACCCTCAACCACCCAAAAAAAATATTTTTTTCTTTGAAAACTGAAACCAACTGTCAAGCAACGAGTAACCAGAAAAGAAATTCACATCCCCTGGGAGGGGACAAGCAGAGTCAATAAGCCAAAACAAAAAACAAAAAGGATATAAAAATCGGCAGAGGGAGAAAGCCAAGGAGCTTCGGTTTGGGATGGCTCTAGTGAAGTTTCAGTGCTCATTTTTGTGGAGGAAGAAGGAATTGGGTAGCAGAGTGACATACTAGGAGAACAGCTTGGTGCAGGCGGCGGAGGTAGTAGTTTTGGGTTTTTTTGTTAACTTTGAACCTAGATCTAGGATTATTCGTGTTGATTCATGTAAAAAAAAAGGCCGGATTTGAGAAGAGGGGATCGGAAAGACGTTTCGGTGAAATTTCGGCATCCACAAGACGCCCGCCCGAGGTTGCTATCTGCGGAACTGGGGATTTATTGGGCTGCTGGGTTTTGTTTAGAGAGGTTTTGGTGTTTTTTTTTTTTTTACTAAGATAGAAGAAAATTTGTGTTAAAAAAAAAAAAACAAATGTTTTATAACTTTTTTTTTCTCTAAAATGGCGGGTCAAAACTACCCTACGCGACCCGTGACCCAGACCGACCCACCCTTGACCCGAAATAAAGACTCTACCCTGTCCGCTTCTGTTTCAGTATGGTCTAGATTAAGCCCAATTAGGAGTCCACCAATTTGGTTTTTACTGCGCTTTACTTTGGATCCAAACCCAAGAGTTTCATTTGGAAATATTTCTTTTTCATATGATTATTTATTTTGTTGTAATTTTTATTTAATTATTTTAATGCTTGCAATTGTTATTTTTTTTAAATGTGTTTTTTAAGAAATGATTGTTTGTGAATATTTATGTTATCATAAAATTTTTATTTTGAAATATTAATAATTTTAAAAAATAAAAAAAAATTTATGATAAGATTTTAAAGAAATATGAGTAGTAATTTTTACGAAATTTTTAGATGAGAAGATTTTTTAAAAATATTATCAGTGTATTAGAGTATTTATAAAAAAATTTTAATAAAAAAATCTTTTTCTCTTATTAAAAGATGAAAAAATGTGAAAAGTTAACAAATTTGTTAAAATTTTCTTTTAAAAATGGGACAAATAATTTATAATAATTAAATAAATAAAATTATAATACAATATAATATAAATACATAAATAAAATATGCATACAATACATGAATATTATGTTTCATTATTTGCATTGTATGTATATCATTAAAATGTGAAAAAATAAATGTGAACAGAATAGGATTATAAGAAAATCTGAATAATAATTCCTAACAGATATCTTGATAAAAAAATTTATTTTAATGTTACAAAATATTAATGCATTGAAACATTTTAAAATTTTTCAATAATAAAGTTTTAATTTATTTTTTCAAAGTAAAATGAAATAATAATAATTTTTAAAAAGTAATAATAATAAAAAGAGTGAAAATTTTGTGAAAAAATGAAATAATAAAAAATGAGTAAAATAAAAATATAATAAACCAAATTTTTTATGAATAAAAAGAATTAAAGAAATTATTTTTTAAATATAAAAATTAAGACCTTTTTATCAAGGTTAGGAAATAATAAATGGTTAATTGATACATTTTTTAAAACAGGAGTTGTAAAGTGTTAATTTTTTCTCATGTGTAATCATACTCTTGAATTAAGTTTTATTTTTAGTAGATCAAAAATTATCTTTTTAATAGGTTTTAATTAATTTTAAGATTTTATTAAAAAGATAAATTTTTATGTAGCAAATTACACCTAATAAAAAAAATCAGTGATGACTATTCGTAATTTTAAAATTTTTAAAATTCATCTAACAATCTCAAAAATTATTATGATATATAATTTTTTTTTATTTTTATTAATAATATTTTTTCTCAAATTATCTTCATTTTGAAAAATGTGAAGAAATTGGATATATAGCAATAGTTAAGGGGAAATAGAGAAAAATGAGAATAATTTTTCTGTGAATTTTTTAACAATTGTTTTTGGACAAATAAATTTATGTAAACACTCCATGAATTTTCTTATCCTTCGTTTATTATTTAGTAATTTAAAGAGTCAATGTTACAAACAGTTATCGAGGTTAATCTGATTCATAATTTAATTCTATTAATTTATATAAGTATTTTAAAAAAATTATATCTAATATATTTGAAGTTAAAATTTTAATATTTATAATTTTTTTAAAATTGCAACCTTCTTTATAAAAAAAATAATCAGTGCATAATAAGTTCAAGTTATTTTTATATAAAAAATTATGATTAATATATGATCTCTTCTTGAATTTATTTAAACTATTGAGAATAATATTTTAAACTAATTTTAATCTTTTTTTTTTTTGTAGACACTCAATTAACAGGAATTAGTTTGTTTTTTTTTTTTTTTTTCTTTTTGATAAAATGGCCTACTTGGGAAACGGCTAAAATGATATTTCTATCAAAAACTCATTGGGCTGACCTTAGGAGTAGTGAATACGGCAATAGATGCAGTGCAAAAAGAGTCAGTTTGACTAAGAATGTTAATCTTATCTGGAACTCAATTTTTAATAGAAATAAATATAGAGATGAATATTATCTTATAGGTATCAAAATAAAAATAAAGATAATTTTAAATTTTTATTGATTGTAAAAATAAAAAAAAAGTAATATAACATTCGTGTTGTATCAATAATTTATATATATATATATATATTTATATATAATTAATAATTAAAAATTTTTATTAAATAATATAAATTATTATTTTAAATTAATTAAAATTAATATATTTTTATTAAAAATATAT